GGATTTACCGCCTGGTCTTGAAGGGTCCTTTCCTAGTGGCAAAGTATGCAAGCTCCAGAAATCTCTAAATGGTCTCAAACAATCTCCTTGTGCTTGGTTTGCCCGATTCACCAATTCAGTAATCAAGTGCGGTTATACTCAAAGCCAGACTGATCATACAATGTTCACAAAAAGATCTGAGAAGAAGATTGTTGTTCTTATTGTGTATGTTGATGACATCATTCTTACTGGTGATCATACTGAAGAATTGACAAAGCTGAAGAAGTTTCTAGCCCATGAATTCGAAATCAAGGACCTCGGAGACTTGAAGTTCTTCTTGGGAATGGAAGTTGCAAGATCCAAAATGGGGATAGCCGTAACTCAAAGGAAGTACACATTGGACCTATTGAAAGAAACTGGTATGCTTGGATGCAAACCAATAGACACTCCAATAGACCCGTATAAAAAGATTGGAATGGAGAATGATAGTTTACCTGTCGACAAAGGACGATATCAGAGGCTTGTTGGAAGACTTATTTACTTATCTCACACCAGACCAGACATAAGTTTTTCAGTAAGTATAGTAAGTCAATTCATGAACTGTCCTACTGAGGAACATATGGGAGCTGTCAACCGTATCTTAAGATACTTAAAGATGACACCTGTGAAAGGATTATTATTCAAAAGGAATGATAGTCAAAAGGTAGAAGTCTTTACGGATGCTGACTGGACAGGAGATATATCCACCCGACGATCAACCTTTGGGTATTGCTCTTATGTATGCGGCAATTTAGTGACATGGAGAGGCAAGAAGCAATCGGTGGTATTTCAGAGTAGTGCAGAAGCAGAATACAGAGCACTGGCGCTTGATATCTGTGAAGGAATGTGGATCAAAAGATTTCTCAAGGAGCTTGGGATTACGAGAGAAAATTCTATCAAGATGTTCTGTGACAATCAAGCTGCAATAAGTATCGCAAAGAATCCTGTTCATCATGACCGAACGAAACACATTGAGATTGATCGGAACTTCATTTCAGAGAAGGTGGACAATGGAATCATAGAATTGGTCTATACTCCTTCTAGAGACCAAACCGCAGACATTCTCACCAAGGCTCTCCCTAAGTCCAGTTTTGATGAGCTAACCAACAAGTTGGGCATGTACAATCTGTACAACCCATCTTGAGGGGGAGTGTGGAATTACGCTCATTATTATTTACTTTAATGTTATTTAGTACTTGCTATATTTAGTCATAGTATAAAAATAGTAATTCTTAATTATAGGTATTTATGTTTATTCCATAATTATAGGAATTACTTAATTGTAGGAAGATTTCTTTCCTCAAGTTGAGTGCTTCGATCCACTCATGCGAGTTCTTCACAAAAATGAGTCAATAAGTGGCTTGAAGTTCTACGGGAGGTGGGCTCCATTGCTAGTCCGCTAGGATTGTCAATAAGAACTCCTAAAGTTAGATCCTAGGTTCTAAGAGTAGGAGACTAAGACCTCACCAAAAATGAGGTCAACAATAACCTTTTTTGCATCTTCTTTAGGTACTTCGACTTAAGTATGATATTTTCAACTTTGATCTATTTTTTTCACACTACCAACCAAATAATAATAATAATAATAATAATAATAATAATAATAATAATAATAATAATAATGATAATAATATTAATATAAATGATAATGATGAAGAAAATCAAGAAATAAAGCTATGAAAAATGAAAACAAAATCAAAACGATAAAAGAAAATAGTAACAAAAAAAATTTTAAAAGAAATAAAAAAAAATTGAAAGAATGTTAAGAAATAAAGCAATAAAATAAATAAAACTTAAAACTTAAAATAAAATAATGAAAAGGAAAATCAGCAAAAACAAATAAAAAAAACATCATTGACATATATGGAGACAAAAATAGATATAAATAAAGTTAAGAAAAATAAAAATAAAATCTAAAACCTGAAAGAAATTGTTTAAAAGAGAAATCACGAACAATAAAGTTTTAAAAAATTGTACAAAACGAAATGAAATCAAGAATAATTGTAGTATTAAAATGAAATCAAGAATAATTTTTTTTTTCCTAAAGAAAATAAAAGAAAGGCTCTTTTCTTCTATGCTCGTCTTCCTTGCACATGTGATCCCCGCTCATAGCCACAACTGCTCACTTTCGTTCCAGCTCCTAATCCCCTTTATTGCTCAGCTATCCTAATTATATTCAATATAGGTATATAATAAGCTATATCAATTGTTAAATAAAGTATAAGCATATTGTAATATAATATAACGAAATGTTTTATTTATACCTTTTAATCTGAAGGGTCCTTTCAAATACCTAGAGAAATAAACCCTAGAGGTATAAATCTCAGCCACAAAAGTTTTCCTCATTCGAAGAGGGGGCATAAGTCTCGAGATATTTTTTGTACGCCTTATCATTATTTAATTTGCCTTACTTTGAGGCATACTTGAGCAATTTTTAAAGCTAATTATTCAACAAGAGAGCATCATGCTACCAAATCTAATGATACGACCCCTTCTAGAAAATATGGAGTTTAGTTTAGCGTGAGGTTCTTTGGTTTTTTAATTGCCTTTTTCGTTGTGCGGATTTAAGAGATGATGATTGGCATAAGGAGGTAATCAACATTTTGATCGGAGGCTGAGAATATCTATAGCTTAAATTTGTACAAAATTTTTTATTTACATTCTGATTTATGCCTTTTATAGAAGTTATTGTAGGATAGCAGCCGCTGTGACTAACTCTCATTAGCATATCTACTTTTGCAATTTTGTAATTTAGGTGGTTCACACCAATTGGTTGGAGGAGGACTAAGGAAGACCTAATTTTGGAGGTATTTCCAATTTGGTATGCTAATTCAATATTATCTCCCCCACAGTGTATTATTTTACAGGATATTTCTTTTTTATTAAGACAACTTCTATTTATGAACATTTATAAAATTTAAATTACCAGACTTCATGGAAAGCAACCCCTCTAACTGAATTTTACCGACTTATTTTTCATTTCTGAAGCTGTATTAATGTTCAAATCTTTTATTTCTAATTACGGTAAAGAGAGACAAAATTATGCTTATTAAGTTTTATAATATTAGATAAATATTGCTAGAAGATCAAGGAAATTACCGAGATTGATATGTTTTAAGCACCTTCGATCCATTATGCAAAAGAATGTGTGTATTGGCGAGTACATAACTTCTGGATTTAAAAATTGGTGTTTCAAAATGGTGTGCAATAAGAGAATCTAACTGTTTGTTATTTTTCTTGATTGGTGGAAAAGCTGGGGAAAACATCTCATCGAAAGAAAGTTATGTTAAAACCGAAATCAAACAAGTGAAAAATAGAAAATCCAATAATAATTCTAGAAGGATCCATAGGCTTGTTAAGAAAATATTAATTTGTTTTCATGATTTGCTTAACCTTAGTATCAGGAATAGAGTCCATTCAAAAGTGAAACTGAGCTGAAGTATTGAACCAAGTTCTTTTATCTTCATTGCTGGAGTTAAAAAAAATTCTGTGGCTCCTTTTAATTAAAATGTTGGAAAGAAACGAGAGCAGGAGGATACATCAGGCATCTTTGCTTTTTCTTTGATAAAATAATATTACTATGATAAGAATGCTATCAAATAGGGGTGAAATCATTATGTATCCCCAAAAGAGTGAGAACACTTCCCAATGCATAGACTATGTAAAAAAAAGGTGAGAATCATTTTTCTGTGTCGAATTACACTAGGCAATCAATAGAGGTTTTTGATGCATAGATGAAAGAGAAAGCTTTTGTTAGGATTCTTTTCCAAAAATACAATCCCTCAAGAAAACAACCTTCGTAGGCACCAAATCCTTCCATATTTAATTGAATTTGTGAGAATATTACCATATATAAGGAAATAATAAAAAATGGTGCATTTACTTACATACCTCCCAATTCCTATGTATTTACATATCTAACACTTAAACTTTACTTTTTTACTTTTATACCACCCAAAGCTTTCTTATCACATAAAAAATAACACTATTTTGGCTTGTAAAAAGTGAAATACACGTTTTCTTAGATAGATAAGGTGGCACATATGCAAAAAATAGAAATTTTAATGTTAGATATCTATAAATACATAATAATTAAATGGCATTTATGTAAATCTTCTAAAAAAATTGACTTGGGAAAGGCCATTGTAAGATAACAACAACTTTCTAGTGTTCTTTTTTTTTTTGCTTTAGCGATATTTAATTTAGTTCATGGTCGAGGTTAGAGAAACTTTTATCTTGATGAAATAGATGATCATTTTCTAATGAAGGCCAATCGGTAGGAGAAAAAAGACTATTCACTGAACTATTTGAATTCCAAGCCAGCTTCAAAAAACGCTGGTAAAGTTTTGCTAATGAAATTATAAATTTTAGAATCTTTTCAAAATCTAACTTTTGTGCTGCTATTGATGTTCTTCTAGCAGATGAGGGAAGAGATTGACTTAGAAGTTTCACTTACATGTTTTATAAGATATGATTCATTGAAGATAATACTCGTCTAAAAGTTGGTAGTAGTATTAAAAAAATACTGAGATTTGCTAATATTTCTAGATAAGTAATCTGGTTCCTCATGAATAAGTTCTAGGAGAGTTGTTCATCATGCACAGATCTTTAATACCAAGCTCACTTATTTTTCGGGGTCTACAAATGTTTCTTATACCGACCAAGGGAAATACCTTCCATCTTCATTTTCCTCAATAAACTTCTCATACTATCAATTTTTTAATGGCTCAATTTGGAGAAAAAGAAGGATTATTATAGAGTAATGGATGTTAAAACTGAGTTTATGATTAAGATTACTATTCCAAAGTACAAGTTTTCTTCAGATTTTTTCATTAATTGAAATCTAAAGAACTCTTTCTACATGGCTTTAGAGCCCTAAGGAAAACCATCAATTTGGAAGGAAGTCTATTAAGATAGCAACCATGAATTTTTGAAATAAATTTGTTTTTTTCGTGACAACCATCTTGATGAAACAATGAAGATTTAGAGAAGTGGATTTTATGTTTAAAAATATCTTGAAAGAAAAGCAATATATTTTGAGAGTCCAAGCTGAAGCACAACGAACACTACAAAACAGGAAAGCATTATTAACAATTTGAATACTATTAATGCCCATAATGCTTTTCCAGCAGTTGTATTCCTTTATCCAACCATCTCTTGTAGAAACATTGGTCATTTAATGAAGAACATCACTAAAACAAAAATTATAGTAATAACTTGGCAGAGAGACTTGACTTTTCTTAATCTTTCAAAATATTTAAATTGTTTACTATATTTTTATTAACTAGGACCAGAGCGTTTGCATGCTTAAAGGCTTTCTGAACCCAATGGATGAACTTGTGAGGGCAAAATCTACCTTCAAGAGTGCTAAGAATGAAATCCCAATGGCAATAGTCAATGTTCTTTTCAAAGTCAACCCTGAAAATGAAAGAAGTTAGCTTCTTATTTTTAATAGAAGGAAGATTAATTGTTAAACTATGCACTTATTGTTTATCTTGTTAGTTGGAATAACCGATGCACGTAGTGATTTCACTGCATTTGGAAGTCATCCAAATTAGGTAATTTTTTAATCCTGGTGATTTTCTTTTGTTGGTTCCACTGTCATCAACTGCTACCATCGCTTGCATCTCAATACCTTGGGAGTATGTCATAACCTAAAAAAATATTTCAATGCATTTGATTTCTATGTAAAAAAAATAATTACATTTTTAAATACACATTTTAATTTCTCTAGATTTTTGGATGCATGTATTTAGATGGCATCTTAGGCTTAGGTTTCAGAACGTCCCTTCTCCCATTAGTCTTGAATGTATGTGCATTAGACCTTCTAAAATGTATAACATTTATATTATAGAACTAAGGTACATCTAAAATAACATGAGCAACATACCAAATTTTTTTAGTATAGGACTATTATAGGTAGCTAATTAAATCAAAATAAAACATCAGTTAGAGATGTCGCATAAAAAGTTAAAATTTAGCATCAAAAGTTAGCTTTAGCATCAAAAGTTAGCATTGTCGCATGAAAATGGATCACTAACAAATTAAAATTTTATTTTAAATACATTTTCAAAATCTGAATGAGCAAGTGCACCTCTTTGTTCTGATTGTTTCCTTGGGCTGTTGCTTGCCATACATACCACACTTTCTTATTCTTATGTATTTACATATCTCTAACACTAAAACATTCATAATTACATTACCATTCAAATCCTTTACATGACATAATAAATACCACCAACATTTTCTTTTTAAAAGTTAAGTATACTTTTTTCATGCATTGGTTTATGACAGCATGGTGTTATAAACATAAATATCAAACTTTGAATGTTAGATATGTCAATACATAAGAAGTGTGTGGCATTTATGTAAATACCCCTTTATATAATAATTTTGTAACGTGCATGCAGCAGGCAATTGTGCAAATTCTTTATAGTAATTTTTGTTTCTCTCTCTCGGAAGTAGTTTATGACTTGCTGAGGTTTCGTTGCAGATGAAAACTGCATACGCCATAGCAAGACTGAGGAAAAAAAAGGGCTATTCAAAAAAGGTGTTTTATCATAATGCAATAACATTATACAAGGAGGTTTGTTTGTGAATTACACTTGCTCTTTATTATATTGTTTATTGTAGAAAAGTGCTAATCAGCATACCTAACTATGGGGCAATTTGTTTATTTTCCTCATAATATATTTTACTAATTGTGTTTTTGTTTCTATTTTTCTTTTCTATTTTTCTATTTTTTTCTTATAAAGAGGGATTCCATTCTTATTTTTCGATCATTCAAATCGTGTATATATATATATATATATATATAAAGGAAACCCGTAGGTAATTTTATTGCTTAAAAGTAAATTTACATGTTTTTAGGAGATTGGATTCCACTACAAATCAAAAAATACAGTATCCACTCCTAGGGTTCCAAACTCCAGGTGTACAGACTCACCCAAACAAGTCTTCAAAACAAATACAAGTATACCCCAAAAAGACTCTAAAACAAATGAAATAGCTAAATCAAAGAAAAAAATAAAGCAGAGAAAAAACAGACATATTGAGATTGTCCCCCATGAGGAGCAGCTTAAGATCAGAATCAGGCTTGCTCTTCAGGATTATAGCCTTAGTATGTGTACCGGATTTAGCAAGAAAACCTGCTGACCTATTAGTTTCCCTGGGCGTGTAGCTCCATGTGATGACAATATTTGCTGAAAGTTGCTTAATCCTGCATAAATGCATAAATCAACACTTACATAAATCAACATTTAAATACCAAGGAGGTTCTTTATCATTCGCCAATATGTCAAACAGAATAGTTGAATCGATCTCAATTTTCAAGAATTTCCAATTCATTTTAGTCACAATAGATAAGGCTAACCAAACAACATCTAACTCTGTGGATAATGCACAAACAATCATACAAGGTGAACAAAAAAAACATAATAGTTTACCAGAATGAGACCTATAGACCCTACTTGCACCTGCACATTCAGCGTTCCAACTACCATCAATATTTACCTTAATCCAGGGTAAAGATGGTTTTTTCCACCACACAAGAGATACCTTACAAAAATTTCTGCCAGGTATATAATAACCCAGCCAATCCTCCCAGCTAGCAAAAAGGATGGCATAATTTTATGATAAATAAACAGTTTATGTATATAAGATAGGATATTTGAAATCACCCTATCTTGCTTAATGCAACAATTCTCATGCTTGTAGGAATTTCTAACCAACCAAATGAACCAAATGCGGATGAAAGGAATGATGTTAAATATATGTTGTTTATGAATAGGATGACACAGGATGACACATAGGATGACACCAATGATTGCTGCACTGTGACAGACCCACCCAACCCAATGGAGGGGTTTTGATAGCAGCCCGATCACATAAAACTGTGCGGATTTTGATAGAGTAGGCACATTCGAAAAACACATGGTTTACACTTTCCTCCTCCGACTTGCAAAGCAAGCATTAGGAGTGGATTCTCACTCCCTTCAATTTAAGGATATCATCCATTGGAATCTAACCAAGTAAAACTCTCACAGAAAAAAGTCATAAGGTGGTCAAACATTTATTCAAATTGCACCACCCCAATCCACCTTGTCCCAAGTGTAAAGTTTTGAATAGATAGTTTTAGTAATAGAGCAATTGATAGTTTCAGTCAATAGGATTTTATCCTTTTGGGACTTATCAAAAGGAATCTTATAGACATAAGTAGCTTTATTCTTACCTAACATATTGGTGAGCATCTCCAAGTTCCAACCTTCATCAAGGTAAAGATCAGCCACAATCAAGTCTTTTTTATCATGGTGTAAAGCAAGGAGATAGATCTTTTCTTTCTGCCATTTATCATGTCAAAAGGATAAGCTACCATTCCCCTGCTTCCAGTGAATAAAGTCTTCAGCATTATTTTTTATTTTAAACATGCTTCTCTAAGTTTTGGAATCGCCAATTTCGGATTGAACCTCCAGTGGATGAAGATTTCTACAATAGTTGCTTTGCATGTATTTGGCCCATTGAGATTCAGCTTTTCTCAATTTTAACTACAAAAGAATGGAGTTGATCTCAGCTAGATATTTTAGTTGTCGAAATCCAAACCCACCTGCATTTAAAGGTCTACATACCACCTTCCATTGGGGCCCCAATTCTTTATTTATGATTCACAAACCATAAAATTTATTAAAAAGTCTTTCAAGTATTATCTGTGTGCCAGATTTGATCCTTAACATCTGCAAAGCATATTAGGGAATAGAGGTTAACACACTTTTCAGCAAAATAATCCTTCCCCCAATGGAGAAAAAAGAATTGGTCCAATCTCCAATTTTGCTTTTGATTTATCCACCAAAACATCAAATTGCATATGTTTTCTCCTCTCTTTGAGTAAATTAACCCCTAAGTATTTTAAGGGGAGATCAACAATGATAAAGCCAGTATACCCATATGCCTATGCCTTCATATTGCTACTCACATGTTCCCCAATATATATATATATATATATATATATAAAGGTGTAATTGATTTGAACGATCGAGAAATAAAATTATTTTCAGAATTTTACATCTATTAGAACCGTAGAATCCTATTTTTTTTCATTCTCGTTCGCAGTCACAGTCATTGCTCATCATCGAGGTTGAAGAGTGTCAGCTTTGTCCTTGTCTCCACAACAGCTTCATCCCACGAGTCGTAGAACGACAAAGTTCCTGAGGTCGTTAGCATTCAAACCCGTAAACATCGTTGATGATGACGTATCCATAGGATTCTTTGATGTTGTCATCGACACTAACCCTAACCTCCATCTTTATCTCTCTCATACACATGTCTCGTACATTGCCTTTGGCTATCTGATACTCATGTCCCCTCCATCACTCCGTTCGAACAGAGTGCATATCGTTGAATCAGAACACTCTGTTTGAGCAGTGTCGAGGTTGATTCGACTCCTTCGATCAATTTTCATGGATCATTCTAATACTTTTCAATTTTCACATGTCATTTCTTTTAAAGATTTGTTTCTCTTTGGTTCACTAATTAGTGGCTATTCAACTTGCGATCGATTTGGCTTGTCCAATCACTCTCTCAATAGTTGCTGACTCACCTATTCTTTTAGTTCATATTCACTCGTCCAACTGAGCAGTCAAACTAAAGATTCTCTACTCACTTACATTTGAGCAGCATGCCTTTCCGATTTGAATTTCACAATCTTATCATTGGCTAAACATGGCATGACCTCGGAAGTTAACTTCAGATTTGAACCTACGGCTTCAGCCTCTACCATACGCAAAACTCCTCTCACACAACCACGAACAATAGACTACATGTCCATAATTTTCTTCAATAGACGTAGTCCGTCTTCATGTACTTCTATAGCAAAAAGAAACATAGACATCTCAGACAAAATTTTAGCTAAAAAATGACAGATTTCAAATGTCGGGTTTGCAAAACTGACGATCACATAGTTATGTCATGGTTAATAAACTCCATGACCATAGAGATTGGAGAAAACTTACAGCTTTATAGGAAAACCAAGGAGATATGGGAGATTGCACATGAAACCTACTCTAGCACTGAAAACTCTTCGGAGTAATTTGAGCTCTAGACTAGACTACATGATTTAAGACAAGGAGAATCGTGTGTTACTCGATATTTTAATACTCTCACATGTTGTTGGCTGCAACTAGACATTTACGGGGGTTATTCTTGAAAATGTCTTGATTTTGCCTTGTATAGGAATATTATTGAACAAAAATAGGCTTATCGAATTTCCTCTTGGCCTCAATAAAGACCTAGATAAAGTCAGAGAGAGAATCACAAGAAATAAAACCCTTCAAAGAAGGCTTGTCATCTGAGAGGCTTTTGTAGAAGTTTGAAAGAAGGAATGCAAAAAGAAGTTAATAATGACAGACAAACACATTGCATCATCTATTGAAGGGTCAGCCTTATACACGCACAACTCCTCTCAAAATAATAAGCCCAAGAAAAGACGATTGTGGTTCGACCATTGCGTCATCTATTGAAGGGTCAGCCTTATACACTCACATCTATTGACGAGTCTTTCAAATGCATTTTTCTTAGTAACTCAAATTAGAAAGGGTATAAATACTACTCCCCAGCCATGAGGTAAATTTATAATTCCATGTATGTCCCTTCTTTAACACTATCATTGTCGGGTCCTAAGCCCCAGATATGAAAAGTGGAGGGGTACGTTAAGTAGTCGACAGTCAGTGTAAAATTTATCAAAAAATCATGACATTAATCCTCCCATGAAAGCAACACGTTGTATGGCCTGAATAGAATGAAAAGTGTGCAAGGCTCATTACACTGGCGCATTGGTGTAGTGTCAAAAAAGCAAGGGTTCTCACATTACGGACGGATGCAGGTAAAAAAGTTAGCCTATAAAACTAATATTAGGATATGATATTTGAATATAGGTACTCTCACATATAAATTAATGGAATTAGTTGATATTATGATTCATAGAAAGATAAATATCTTATGTATTCAAGAAACTAAATGGTTTGGAGAAAAGACTAAGGAGACTGATAGCTTAGATTTTAAACATTAGTATTCAGGTGAAAAAGCCGCACTAGAAATGATGTAGGTATAAGTATAGATGAAAGTTTGAAAGATAATTTTGTAAAAATTAATAGAATTTTAGTAGAATTATAGCCCTTAAGATAGTTATTAGATAGAATTATAGCCCTTAAGATAGTTATTGATAATAAGATTTTTAATATTATAAGTGCTTATATTACTCAAGTAATTTTAGATAGGTTCCAATGAAAAATTTTGAAATAAGAATTAATACAAATGATACTTCTTGACGAAATAATATTTATTGGAGTAGATTTAAATGGATGTGTTGGTAGAGTGGTGGAAAGATTGTAAGGTCATTTCAAGTCAGAATTTAAACACCCAAAATTGATTATTAGTTCTGGATTTTAAGATGAAAAGTTGCAAAATAAAGAATACTATGAACCATTATCATAAAATTAGATAGGGGCACCTAAAAGACACAAATAAAATTATTTTTATGAGTGTCATATGATATACTTGGAGAATCAAAAGGAAAATATTTTATAAATTAAAATG